GCAGTACGCCGCCTAACCCGGCCTGCTTCACCGCTGTTAGGTGCCTACCCTTGTAAAGTCCTTTCTTCCTTCTTCAGCTTAGAATAGTCAATCGACGGCACCTCTACGCTGAACAAGCCTAGGGGCCAGCCCCTTACACATATCCATGGTCAGGGATCCGAGGAGAAAAGCGTACATACCGTTGTTTGATAGGTATGCGATTTTGGACATACAGCATTGCTAAATCCGCATTGAAGTTCTCATGAGGTACACGAGAACATGACACCAGAAACAAGCGTCAGTAGGAGGGCGAAGTGATCAATCTTTATCCGGTTTTGAATTCCGGTCGAGTATGGACAGCATTTATGAACATCTGAAGACGGTTTGTGGGCGGTTAAAGGGAGTACCAACATACTTACGGTTGAAACGATCTGTAAAAAGTATTCAAGGCCAGCAGTCACAACCATCAACCCTAAAGAAATCATTTTCACCACACAGGGACCAGAGATAACAAGCACAATATCTCCTCACACTTTGAAGATGAATTTCTCCCTCCTTGTCCTCGCCGTCGCAGCGTTCACCTCGTTTTCTGCCACACCGATGGCGGATGATGTCTCCGTCGCCATGCGGTCTGAAGATCATATCACCCTCTGGAAGCTCGTTCAACTTCTAGCGGCTGCTACTACTTGTGCGACCTCTAACAATTCTCTCGCATAGCATGCTTTACTGAGTCATGATGTTTTCAATGGCGCCTCGCTCGCCCACTCGCTACGTTTCCACCGTCTGCATGTGCGCGGGATCTCGCATCTACCGCGGCCTACACGGCTGCGACCCTCATTGGGGCTAGATCGGAACTGTTTACACCAGCAACCCTAGCTCCTGATGCCGCATTGCCAGTGATGATGCAGTTGAGAAGGATGGAGACGATGGTCCCGTCGAGAACATCGAGGCATTTCTCCTTGAGTAGTACGATGCCATGCACAGTACGTTATATGCTCAACTGGGAATTCAGGTCATGTTATTGTTCGATCTTTTGAGTTCACGTGCATAGTCAGTGGTAAGGCATACTTCATTCATTTTGTGGCCTCACATAGACATCATTTCAATCAGTTACCTTGATGGCTGAAGGTGATTCGCACCTCACATGTTCGCACCGACTTAAAAGACTACGGAAATGATGCCAAGTCGAATTGCAACTACAAATTGTGTCAAAGTCAGGATGTACTAGAGTAGTGATGTTTTAGCGTTTTGCACCCAGTTTTCTCTTCTACGGGTAACCGGCACGTCATACAGACGGCGTTCGGCACATTATGAACTTTCAAAGGCAACATCCGCAACTCAGTCCTAGCCCAAACTTTGAGCTCCACCACATAACCTTAACAACACGCGTTTGCGGGAGACGCGAGAGCCGCGCGCCAGCGCAGATATTCTGCTTGAAGTCTAATATTGACGTCACGTTTACTAGGTGGTCATGGGTGCACATTTTCGCGGTCTATAGGGTGGGTCAAAACAACACAACAGAATCAAAAGCACCCGTAACAGAAAAAGGGACACAACGAGTCGAGTCATCCAGATCATCTGAATGCGCCCTTATGATAATCCTTTCCTTGGCGAATAGTCTACCTGATTGCTTACTATCCACGAGCGACTTCAGGCCTCGCATAATCCAGTTCAAATCACGCTTTACAAATCATGGCCGCCAAACGCATGTCTTTGACGTATTGCCTGTGCAGAGAAACCAAATTGCTCCAGGTCTTCATACTCCGAGAGGGGTAGTCACGGGAGCCTGAGAAGAGGAAGGTTGCATTCCTCTTTAGACGCGTGAACATTCGCTGTATCTTCTTCTCATTTCAGGAAGGTGACGGACAGCTTCCATATGAAGTACAGGTCGCCTCATGATAACTAAATTGGATGAATGGGGTTACCTGCGTGCGGACTGCTCATCCTTGAATGATTCCGCAGTCGTCACAAAGCCGGGCGCAGCCCTCGAATAATTGGGGCCGTGGACTCCCAAAGGCTCGGAGAGCGGGAATGCGGGCAGCGAGCAGACGACCCCAGTCGCAACGGTCTAGGATGATCGGGATCTCACTCAACAACCATAACAAGGACCAGGAGAGGGCTTTGACAACAGAAATAGAGACGGCTTTGAAATCTTGCAACCCTGATAGGTGCCGAGTCGTCGGCAAAAGACTACAGTAGAGGCGATGGGCAAGACGGACTGCCCTAAAAAAAAAAAAAACTGGGAGATCTTGGCCAAGGCTTGTTCCTGTACCCATTCGTGAAGGCTCGCCGCTGCAGAAGGCGGGAAAACCGATGGCTATGATGCAACGCTCCGGGAAGGGTGTCTTGGCGATGCTGTCCCTGCATGAATTGGGCTGAAAATTTCACCAAATCACCAAAGTCCCTGGGACGCGTAGGACTGAAACACGTTGAATTGGACTGTAAAGTGATGGCCGGCTGACCACGACATGGACCGTACAGCAATCACAGGATGGATCTAATCTACGAATACAGAAAGAATAAAGAGAAAAGAAAAAAGCGCTCAAAGTCTCTCGGCACGGCAACACACCCGACGAGACGCACCCATCCCTCCGGATGTGATAACTTCGGCAAATGTTACCAACTGCCAGCCACGTAAAATTCCGCCGTGCTCTATGTGACTAGCGGGCGGTGACGCTGTGGAAAGAAAAGGAGCCTCGTTGGCCGGAAATAGAGCATTCTGCCCATAGCGACACGCGTCGGGTGACGACTCAGAGACCTCCCGCCCAAAGGCCTCGACTCCTCGGGGTGGGTGAGGCTAGTCCGTAGCAGCCAATGGCATTTCGCTGAATTGATTGGGCGCACCAAGACTGGCCCGGTCCTCGCCCCCGAAATTTAGGGATCCCCGGCCGGTCGGGTGTTTTCAACTTTATGTCGGGCATCCCGGACGTTCCCCGGCCGATTCATGTTTCCTACCTTAGGTTGCGGGAGCGCAGACACCAGACGAACTCTATTGCGCAGAGCAGGATCATAGCTCTCGAGTGTCACCGTTGTTTCTTTGCCTTTTCAGACGAATTCGCAGCATTAATCATGAAGTCGCAGTACGGTTTTCTTTGGGGCTAGTTACGAGCGCATGCGTTTACCCAGAGAGAAGACTTTTTGGTCGATCCAAATTTGCACAATCGCATCAGGCTGGCGCTTCAGATTTTTCTTTCCCTCCTCAAATCTCCATTCATGCTGCCAAAAAGTTCCTAGAACCGCGGTTGCGCACATTACCCGCCCCTTTCGAAAGCCCTCCCACAGACCGAGGGAACCTGGGCTGTAAGGGAGTAAACAGGCCCCTCTACCCCTCGATAGGGTGAATTGTCAGCAAAATTTGGTCCAATCTCATTGAAGCTGCGTAAACGCACAGCGGCGCCACCCGCGATGTGGGCACTGCCTCGTCATCGGGTGCCCCCTAACGAGAAGCTTTTGCCAACGTCGGTTTCCACAAGTCTTCGGGAAGTGGGAGGTCGACCAGGAGTTCGTCCCGCGGGCTGCTCCACCCCGGATCGACCCCGGGTTCCGCTTTAGAACCATCCTCTTTCCTTCCTTGTAATGCTTGAGTGCCTGTGGTCTGCTTGGCGTAGCACTCCGTATGCCGTTGAGGCTGAGTTAAGGACAACCGCTGTGGGGACGCATTGACTCGAAAATGCGCCCGGCGGAGAACAAAGTCGTGTAACTGAGGCTCAGGACCTGTGAACCCCTGTGAGTGCCACGACTGCCAATGGGTTGTGGATGACCTTTTGCGCCGCGCTGGTTGGACGGGATGTTCTGACGACGCGGTCCTACCGCCGTAGACATTGGACGGAAACGATCGAAAATAGCAAGTGTGGACTGGCGGAAAGGGTGGGATGACGAGGGCTCTCCCATGCTTTGGGTCCAGGTCCCAGGCTGGGGATCGGACGAAGGCGACGAGCCCCTCTCTAGTCCACATCACGTACGCGGCGTCGAGAGATAGAGGACGATGAAGATCGACGTTTGTATAAAGACCGGCGAGGAAGTCGATCATCTCGGACTTCTTTTCCTCACCAGCCGCAACCACCGCAGCAACATTCGCTTCAACAACAGCAAGAACACAAACACAATCGTTTTCGACATTCGCTCATTGTCTTGATACCAACAGTTCTTCCTGCCACACAATGGTCCGCATCACCGCCCTATCGGCCGCTGGCCTTGCCATCGCCGGCCTCGTTTCCGCCCACCCCGGCGAGAAGCACGACCACAACAAGATGAAGCGCGACATCGCCCTCCGTGACGGTGTTGCCAACATCGGCCAGCGCTCCCTCGCTTCTTGCTCCAACTCCGCCGGTGCCCAGAAGCGCCAGGCCCGCGCCGTTGAGCGCCGTGCCCAGAAGGTCAAGGAGATCCGCGCCAAGAAGGGCCTCACTTCCCGTAAGCCGCCCCGTCTGCTCCCAGTCTACCCGAGCTTGAAAGCTAACATCACCAAAAGCCTCCAAGAAGTACCGCCGCGACCTCGACCAGCTCAACGCCTGGGAGGCCATCAACCACAACATGACCGGCCAGTCCACCAACGGCATCTTCTCCTCCATCGAGGACGTCTTCAGCGCCAACACCTCCTGCGTCCTCTCCCCTGAGATCACCGGCGGCCCCTATTACGTCGTCGGCGAGTACATGCGCTCCAACGTCATCGAGTCCGAGTTCTGCGACGGTGTCCCCGTCTTCCTCGAGGTCCAGTACGTCGACGTCAACACCTGCGACCCCGTCCCCCAGGTCGCCGTCGACATCTGGAACTGCAACGCCACCGGTGTCTACTCCGGCGTCGAGTCCGGCCAGGCCGGCCTGAACACCACCTTCCTCCGTGGCATCCAGCTCTCCGACCACGACGGTGTCGTCCAGTTCGAGACCATCTTCCCCGGCCACTACGAGGGCCGTGCCGTCCACACCCACTTGCTGTCGCACACCAACGCGACCCTGATGCCCAACGGCACCATCTCCGTCTGGGATGCTCCCGTCGCCCACATCGGCCAGCTCTTCTGGCCCGAGTCTCTGCGCGAGACCATCGAGGAGCTCGCTCCCTACAACACCAACACCGTCGAGGTCACCACCAACGCCGAGGACATGTGGTCCGTCCTCCAGGCCGACGAGTCCTACGACCCCTTCCCCCAGTTCGTCTACCTCGGCGAGGATGTCTCTGACGGTCTCTTCGCCTGGATCCAGATTGGCATCAACGCCTCTGCCGACTACCAGACCGATGACTACTACGGCGTCGCTGCCTACCTCGGCGAGGACGGTGGCCACTCTACCGGCTACACTGTCGGCGGTGGCGGTGGTGGCGGCGGCAACGGCACCGGCAACGGTACCATGTCCGGCGCTCCCCCCTCCGGTACCGGTGCTCCCCCTTCTTAAAGTGTGATTTTTAGGGCGCGGGCCTGATGCACGGATCGGCTAGCCGTGTCAACTTTTCCTTTTTGTATGATATTAGACGCGGTGGAAGCGCACATTTCTTATCCTTCAATCACTTTTCCCGTTTCATTCTTAGTGATGTGTGCGCCCCTTTGATACCTGTGCTAGTATGCCCGGCACCGGGACCCATAATTGCCGGGTTGTGGGGTCCGCTATCCGAGTAAGGTAGACGCCGAAGCCGCGCGGCCGCTGGTTCTAGCGGGACTGTCCGGCGGTAGAATTTTGCCTAAAGCTGGATCTTGGGAGGTCTTTCTCATTTCAACTATCCGGTCCTGATTGGAAACTTGGGGGAAATGCAAAATTGAGCCGAAAAATGATTGTCACTCCTCGGCAGATAGTCCTGGTGGTAAAGATGAAGTCAAAACAGCCTATGCATGCAGAAGTGAGGTGATGCTTGAAAAAGGAACAATGATATCAACTTGAAAATCCGCGACGGGATCAATGCGCAACTCAGAAAAGGTCTCGGAAATCGGTTGCAATCGGGCGATCCAATTCCATTACATAATTGCGAGAGAGCGAAGTCACTACTTGCACACACACATTGTCTGCGTCGGAAGCCTCCCGATGTCACAGCATAATTTAAAGTAGAAAGAGAGTTGCAGTCTTGCAGAGCCGAGAGCCAAAGATGCGATGGATCCATCACAATTGACTTTCATCAGCGTCAACAGGAACCCCCCATTCGCTCGCTGCTCCAGAAATCAGGCCCATGACTTCACCCCGGTCATCAACACGTGCCACTGCCAAGACGGACGACTCCAAAAGTGGAAGCTCCATTTCGCTCGCCCAACAGCCGTCCACCAATTGTGTCTTCCGTTTCCTCCACGCGTTTCACCTCACTTTCTGGTGTCACCACCATTTTTCCCACTGACGCGCCCTTTTTCTCATTTTGGCGCTGCAGAACGAGTGCTTGAGACGAGACGAATTCGGTATCCGTCATGGTTTAGGCTTTATTGGCGTGCATGGTAGGAAGCTGAACCTGCCACTGTACCTGTCTACTGCTGCGATCCCGGAGCTGTGGCGTGGGGCGTTGCTACCGTGGGATACCTCCAGCCGCGGGCTGCTGCGCTGTGCGTGAGCATGAGGCGACATGATAAATGGACTGTTCCTCCTCTCCCTCTGGCGAGTGCTGTGCTCGCCGGTTCTCCCATGCCAAGTCGCGTTACTTCGACTTGACTCCATCGCCATGGCGCTCAAGTATCTTTCCGTGGCCACGGCCATTGTCGCCCTTGCGGCGCAGCCCTGGCTGACAACGGCCGTCGACCTTGAGCTCAACGTCACAGCTCTGACTGGTGGCGAGCTTGAGGCGGACTGGACCAATGTCTACTACTCCAAGTCTAACCCTCTGCTGCTCGGAAACGACGGCGGAGCGGCCACCGGCGGCGTCCATGCCTGGGATCTGAACAGCGAGTCGCCTCTGGCGGAGGTAAAGACTCTTGTGACCGGCCGAACGAAGCTCGTCACTACAGTCTACAACGTCACTGACAACAAGGACCTTGCGATCACGATAGCGATGCCTGACTCCGTCATCCGCGTGTTTGATGTGCCCTCGTTCACCGAGATTGAATCAGCCCAGACCACTCTCCTTGGCGATTGGTCCGCGCTGTGTTCGTGGCGAAGCAAGAGTCTGAACGACTACATCTTCCTGTTTGGAAAGGGCAAGGCCGTCGAGTATCTCGTGAGAAAGGGAAAGACTGACATTGAGCTCGTCGAGGTCAGCTTGCCAATGATTCCGATTTTCGCATCTCTTGCTAAGCCTCCCAGATCCGAAACATCACAATGCCCACCGAGTTCTCCGGCTGCGCGGTGTCCCATTCGCAGTCCAGGATGATCCTTTCCGCCGACGACGACAAGGACGTTTATGTGTTCGACCTTACTGAGTCGACCACCAACCCTGAAGTCACCAAGATTGGCGAAGCGGAAGAAGACGTCACCGGCGTCGCTGTCTACACGTCTTCTGCCTCTAACTCTACCAGCCAGGAATACCTCTTTGTCGCCCAGGAGAACGCAGTAGCCGTCTACGAGTACCCATTCAAACTCCTTGGAGCCATCAAGTTGACCGGTTTGGAGGACATTGAGGTCCAGGGCCTCAGCATTTACCAGGGCGCGACCTCCAAGTACCCCAGCGGTGCCCTCGCCTTCGCCATTGAGGCCGATGACGTCGCTGGATTTGGTCTGATGTCTCTGGATGGAGCCCTCACTGAGCTTGGAATCTCGGTAAATAAGGAGTACGACCCACGCACTCAGGTGGGATGCCGGACTCGCTCCAAGATTTGTGACGCGTGCTCCGGTAACGGCTACTGCGAGGAGAATGCCCTTGGCTGCGCGTGCTTTGCTGGATTCACTGGCGACAAGTGCGACGCCTTCCAATGCACAGACAACTGCTCTGGACGCGGCGAATGCGTTGGTCCTAACCAATGCAAATGCCAGGACGGCTGGGGCGGGCTTCATTGCTCTTTCCTCCTGGTGCAGCCCTCGTACGAAACAGACCAGAATGGTGCTGATGGAGATGACCCTGCCATCTGGATCTCTCCTGAGGGTGCTGACAAGTCTCGAATCATCACCACGACCAAGTCGACTCAGGGTGCGGGACTGGGTGTCTTTGACCTGACCGGCAAGCTTCTGCAAACAATTTACGCTGCCGAGCCCAATAATGTGGATATGATCTATAATTTTCAAGCCGGCAACCGCACTATTGACCTCGCGTTCGCTGCTTGCCGTGACGATGATACCCTTTGGTAAGTTATCCACTCATCCTTTATGATATGCCACCAACTGACATCCCCGTCAGTCTCTTCGAAATGACGTCGAACGGCACTCTCAAGAACATTGCCGGTGGCGTCCAGCCAGTCGTCGAAGACTACAAAGTCTACGGCTCATGCGTCTACCGCTCTCCCAAAACTGGAAAACAATACCTCTTCGTCAACGAGAAGTCCGCCCGCTACCTTCAGTATGAGCTGACCTCCACCCCCAACGGCACGCTGCAGACGGCCCTCGTCCGCGACTTCCAGGGCGGCTCGGGAGGCCAAGTCGAAGGCTGCGTCACAGACGAGGAGAACGGCTGGATCTTCCTCGGCGAAGAGCCTTCTGCCCTCTGGCGCTACGACGCCGAGCCTGACTCCACTGAGCCAGGACTGCGCATCGCCTACGTCGGCGACGGGCACACTTACGCCGACGTCGAGGGCGTCACACTCGTCTACGGTGTTACGAAAGACCAGGGCTATGTCCTGGTTTCCAACCAGGGCGTGAGTTCGTACAACGTCTACCGCCGCGCTGCCCCCCACGAATACGTCACAACTTTCACAATCACGAAATCTGCCGACGGACAGATTGATGCGGTTTCCAACACTGACGGCATCACTGCCGTCGGCACCCACCTGAACAAAGACTTCCCCCACGGCCTTGTCGTCGTGCATGACGACGCGAACCAGTTCCCCAACGGGAGCACGAGCACTGAAGCCAGCTTTAAGTTGGTCAATTTGGAGAAGATTTTGGGGGCCGAGGCGCTCAAGTCGCTCAACTTTTTGGATGATGTCGATGCCAATTGGGACCCGAGAAAGATATTTAAGCAATGAGACCATGACATAGCTGAGCGTTTTACATACTGGATCTAATGATAACTAGCCTCATCAAGGCCAGCAAAAGCAGCCAACATATTAGGAAGCTCGTTCACAACAATTCTATTGCCAAAAGTTTAGCGCGTCAAGGAACGATCGCTTCTGCCACTTTTCCTCGGGAGGATAGACGACGATCCGATCGAGATCAGCTCCTTTATAGTCGAAGCCGTTATAAAGCCCACCAACGGTAATCGTGTTTTTGCCCCTCTGCAGAGGAAGTAAGAGGGGGGTCGACAGAATGATGCCTTTGTGGGTATCCTTCTGATACAACGTGTGCACGGAGCTGTTATCCCCATTGACCACGACACTGCTGATGCGGCGGAGTTGCCATGTCCCATTAATGCGATCCGGTTGACCGAATGGCTGGTCACCGAAGCCCATGTCATCGATATCTGCATGCATTAGCAATGACTATCTTGTGGTTGCATGGCGGGCTTACTCTGGTGATAGAAAGATACCCATTGATCTCGGCCTTGTCCCTCGACTTCAAAGGTGATGGTGCTGTTGTTGCCGTATATACCAGTAGCTATGACATTGTGGCTACCAAAGGTCTGCGTGTCATCCGTCAGCGGAGCTCTCCGGAGTCTCTAGCATGCGGTTATGGCAGTCAACTCACAGCTTCCTGCAGATGCGCAGACCCGCTAGTTTTTGCGTATCTGGAGGTATACGTCTTTCCACGAACGGGTTTCCAAACACCAGTCTTTCTGCATTGGATCGTCAGCTAAGTTAAAAATCACGTCGCGACTCTCTTCAACTCACACATCAAGGTCATAGACATCATGCCATACAACCTTCAGACTTCCTGATTTCTCCTCGATTTCAATCGGAAGCCACACATTGCGGCTTTCCCAAAGCGACAGCATGTCCCATTGATCAGCCATGTACAAATACGTAGTCGCCTTGGACCCCTTGATTCTCCAGGAGAACCCAGATTGGGTGCTGAATGTCCGGGTGTACGCCGGTGCCACGAAGAATGGTTGAGACCAGGGTCCTTCGAGCTTGTCGGCGCGCATCGCCACCACATCTTGCTTCTTCGTCAGTTTTTTGAAGCCTCTCTGACCGAATTTGAAGTTTAGAGTACGTGATGGGGTTCACTCACTGTTGGGACGATACCCCGTCTTGTGACTCATCAGTGCAAAGTAACTCTTCTCAGTTTGCAGAATCGTCGGCGCCTCAAAGTCATACTTGTCAAACCGAAAGGTGACTTCTTCGACATCTGTTAGGTTTCTGTTGAACTTGCTAACATACACATCACGTCCTTCGGGGCGGTCGCCGTTCGAATAAAGAGCATACGACTCTCCCGTCTTGTAGTCCGTGAACGCCCCAAAGTCTTGCGACCAGTTGCCCAGGGGCGAGATCGCTTTCTGGAAGGTGTAGGGACCGGCGATACTATCGGAGGTAGCGAGCCCTTGAAGCAGTAGGCTGTACTTGGAGTCGTCGACGTGCCACCACATCTGCAAGTGTCAGCTTGTCCAGGGGGACTGCTAAGCTGGATTTTGTCCCTCGAGGGCCGTGTTTTCTCTTACATGATACTGGCCAGTCTCTTTGCTGTATATGACCTTTGGACGCTGGATACGATTGTGAGAGGAGACGTAGGGATGGTCCTCAACCGGCGCTAGGTCAAATATCAGCACAAGAATTGGCGTCCGATAAGAAGTTGGGCCATAACTACCAAGCGCGAGGCCATGTGAAGTCCAGGTCGCCAAGTCGTCCGAGCTGTACACGGAAACACCGCCACCCTCGACTTGTCCCTCAACTTTGTACTCTCCAAACCAGTAGAACCTGCCAGTCGCTTGGTCAACGGCAAGTCCACCAGCGTGAGCGTTGAAGATGTTTCCATCGGTGTCATGGCATCGAGCTCCCGGAACGATCCACTTCGCTGTCACCGCTGTGGCGAGCCAGAGGATGTGGAAGAGACGTCGGGGGTACATAGTGAAGGTTCTTGGAGTGGCAGGATAGTGTGATGATAATTGAGGCTTAGTCAGAAGGGGTAATTGCTAGTGCCAACAGCCGCTTGATGCCTCAAAGCCCCATCGAATGAATCATGTGCAATCTCGTGAGAAACGTATTTTATTTCATGATTTGCCTATTCATCTAACATCAGTGATGGGTTTCCTAACCCATTTTTGGCCCCTCTCGGTATTCAACCTCGATCTTCCACCGAATTTCGGAGCAAAGGAAGGAGTTGTCTTACGCCAAGCAGCCCAGCCATCACGATACTCCTACGAGCCATCATTGGGCTTGGACATCTCGGTTTTGGGTTGGCTGGTTGGTCTTCTTGGCAATCCTCAATATTTGTGGTGGCGCTAGCCTTTGCGGAAAGGCTTACATGCGCCAAGACAAGATGCTATCTCCAGAACTTGCCTAAACATGCTTATGATAGAAACTTCTAACCCCTGCTCCCCCGCACAACCCCACGACTGTACCTACAGTTCCTTCCGTGGGGGTGAGATCCCGCGGAGAAGCTTGTTAAATCCTGGCTGAGAGAAAACAAGACTCGGTGCAAAGCTGGACGAGTGAGACTGCTTTTGGTGCATGATCGACGTTTTTGATCAAATCTCCGATGCGTCGTCTAGACCGGATACTCAGGATAAAATTGTTCCGCGAACCATTTCACATCTTTCAACGGATTAATGTCCGCCAACTTCCACTTTTCTCTACAGAATGATGATATTTTCCGTATTCTGGTGGCACAAAACCAAGCATTTCCGTATTCTACTCGGGATCATGCCCTACTGGAGGCTCCAGATACCTTGCCATACTACTTGGCTAGGCCATTCAAGTTGATCAAAGCTAGCTGTTTGAAGTGGGCGAGAAATCTAAAGATTCGGACGTGCGTTATTTTCATCCGTTTGGCCGAATCGCTCCTTGCTATCCCGATGACGTTGTTTTGTAGCTGTTCTTGACTTTATGACCGCTAGTCAAGTTCACCTATGAAGACTCAGCATTGCTTCTTGCTATATCGCGTTACGTGATTCGTGGATCTTGCTTTATGCATATGGCGTACTGAAGCTTTGAATGTATGCATTTTGGCATGCGGGTGAAAAGGGAATCATTGTTTTGGTATTGGTGAAAGTGCATGACCCCGAAGCAAGATACTGATAATTGAGGCCTCCGGACATGACGCATTTTGACAAAATGCAGGATATCTATAAGTCGACGCCAATGTTCGCAGATTAACCAGAAGTTACCACGCTGACTCAATCAACTCGTCTCATATCTCATCATGCTCTTTCATCAACTTATTGCGGTCGCGGCGGTTGCATCTGGTTTGGCCAGTGCACTTACGGACCTGGGTCCAGTCAAAGGTCTCAACCGACGACTGGCAAAGTCTACACAATGTGTGGTACCTGCCAACGGTAACGGATCCGATGACACACCCGCCATCCTGGCCGCATTCGACAAGTGCAAGACTGACGGACACATTGTCTTCGAGAACGTCACGTACCACATTGGCCAGGTCATGAAGACTACTGATCTCAACAACGTCAAGATCGATATTAAAGGGACCCTCTTGGTAAGTGATGTGCTATCCGCGTCGTGTTCTATCATCTGTGTATCTTATGTGTTTGACTAGGGATTCAGTGGAGCAAGAACACGACTTATTGGCTGGAGAATTCTCTCCCCATTGGCTACCAAAACCAGACGACCGCCTGGGTTCTCGGTGGAAAGCATCTCGACGTCAACGGCTTTGGCTATGGCACATTCGATGGTAACGGCCAGACTTGGTATGACTTGGTCAAGGGAGAATCGAACTATCCTAGTGAGTAATCCTCGGTGAGATGTTGCCTGTAACGCAGTCATCTGACCGTAAGTAGACAGGCCTCATGCTCTATTGCTTGAAGGAGCAGAAGATTCCGTCTTCGAGGGTCTTCGATTTGTCCAAGCTCAAATGTGGTACGTTGCAAACATACCTCGTCCGCTAAGTTTGTTCTTCCATCCATCAGTAATACAATTCTGAGCAATCCCTCGGTGTAGGACAGTCACAATCACGCGGTCCGAACGCGTTCTCCTTCAAGATATTTACGTCAACAACACAAGTTCCAACAGAAACCCAGCTCGTAATACCGACGGCGCTAACACCATGTTCTCGGACAACATCCACTTTCGTCGCTGGACAGTTAAGAATGGCGATGACTGCATTGCCACCAAGGCCAACTCGACAAACATTCTGATTGAAGACGTCGAATTCCACGATGGCCAGGGCGTGGCAATCGGCAGCATTGGGCAGTATGCAGGCCAGTTTGAGACCATCGAGAATGTCACGGTGAGGAACGTCTTGGCCCATGGATCTCGTTACGCTGGTCGCATCAAGACTTGGACTGGTGAGCAGCTTGGATATCCACCAAATGGCGGGGGTGCTGGTTTAGGATGTAAGTCATGCCTTCAGACCATAGCGGGTTGGGATTGTGCTGACTTCACCCCAGATGCTAAGAATCTCAGTAAGTCGAAGCATAACAAGGTCATCGGCTATCCGCCGCCATGATTCAACTTCACGAAGGTTGCGGCCAAGAACCAAGCTAATCATCACGAATTTAGGCTGGGATAATGTAACCATCTACGACGCGGAACAGGCTCCCATCTACGTGATGCAATGCATCACCTACAACGGGCAACAGGGAAATTGCAGCTCGTCTTTATTTGATATCTCCAACATCAGCTTCACCAACTTCCATGGTACACTCCAAGGAAGCCGCGTCGCCTACCTTCAATGCAGTCGGGCCCATGGTGGATGTGACGATGTTCGAATCGAGAACATGAACTTCACCAACATCAGTGTGGACCCACCGACTCCCGCGACAGGATATAGGTGCAGCAACATCAACGATCCGGAAGGGTTTGTGTGCTAAGCTCTAGTGTGGCAGAAATGCCTATGCGCCTGCAAATGCAATGGAAAGGGTAGCCATGAAGAGGTTTCTCAATTGGTCTAGCGTCAACGTCTACCTGTATATAAAGCAGGAATAGTGCCACTAGTCTTGCTGTGGCTCGCTCTCAGCGTCGACATCAACCCAACCTAGATTGATGTCAATCTCATCTCCATCCACGCTCTCTTTTCCGCTTCTCTTGAGCTCCTCCCACATGGCCTGTTGAAGGTGCTTTTCGAATCTGAGTTCGCCGAGGACAGACAAGTCTAACAGCCGCCCGCATGAAATCATGGCCATGAAACCTTTCTTCGCCTGTGCGGCTACGGTCGGGTCATGATGGCGGCTAATCTCTTGGAATCGGCGTCGCCAGTAGAGCCATCTCGACTGAGAAAATCTGACCTCGTGGATGTCTGCTTTCTGGGCCATGACGCCCGTTGTTGCTGGGCCATCCTCTGGAGAACGCGTCACTTGTAATCTCATCAATGCTAAGGAGAACAGCTTGAAGGCACAGTTTTGCACCAAAATGACCGCAGAAGGAAGATAGACCAATCCATCTGTACCTTCTTCAGTCTCGAGAGCGTTCCGCATAACCCATGTGGCAGTTCGCTCAATATCGTCGCTTACTCCAATCGCAAAGCACTTGGCCGAAAACATCGCCAAGTTGCACATTTTGGTAACATCTTTCTGCGTCGAGAGCTGTTCCCAAGATGATTGCAATTCCCCAGCAAAGCCATATCCCTCCCAAGATCCATCAGCAACCCCATTTGGATGAAGTTGTCTGTAAAGAGAGTCGTACTCTTTGGTCCATAGCAGCAGGGAGACAAGGCTATCCTGGAATGAGTCTTCCTGTTGAAGATTCTGAGCAGTAATGCAGAACATATGCCATAGGAGGTTCAGTCCTTCTTGGTATTCGGGAGATTGGCGCGCGGCATCCTTGATGAACTTGAGGGCAAAGCTCTGGATGGAGACCAGCTGGTCAATTTTGTCCGTTTCTGTTGCCAGATTCTGTGCATCTGCCTCGAAGGACTGGGTGACTTTATGCCTGAAGTCGGCAGCACGAGCCTTTTCGGATGGGGAAGTCGAAGTCGACATGGTCGCACACTACTGACCGACTAATGTCGAAGTATGAGCTGAATGACGGCTCCGAAGAATTGAAGAGTTTTGAGTGAGTTGTAGATTCATCACAGAAGCAAGTCAGGCTTTTTATAGGGCTTACTCATGGCAGAGCCTCAGGAAGTTCAAGCGATGGTGGGACGTAAGCCGACTGCACTATGAGTGGCCATCGGTCACCTGATCTAGGCAGCTACTCCAGGCAGCTATTCGGGGTACGTACCCGACATCGAAGAGATGTTCAAGTATACGGTGGATTGGTTTTCCATGTTTGATTGTGGCTTTCTTTAATTATCGTCATTGGGTTCGGGCTTCTCAAAAGCAACTGAGGGCATCATGGGGTCCATCCAGGGGAATGACGCGCGGAAGCGTGGTTGTTCTAGCCAATCAGCAACGAAAACCGCATCCACTAAATTCCATTTTAGGCAGCGCATGCATGCATACTGTCATCCTCTAGCAGCCTCTGAGGCAGGGCAACATGCTGAACTCATTGTAGCGGGCTCATGGAGGCGTTGTAATTCATACAGGTGATGAAGCTTCGTCATCGCTCCCTGGTTCATGGGGAAAAAATGTCATCCACTTTATTCGTGGCGTTTCATGGCCAGTTGAGCTGACGGTAGGCTAGTTTGCAGGAATTAGTGTTTACTCTGTGAAGTTTTGATGTATGTAACCTAGTCTATATGTACATCGAAAGGGATTCTATCCATTTATCGCTCCCATGTTCCAACCCTTGGGTATGTCTATGTGATGAAAGCAGAGATCTATAAAACTTGAACTAAACGAGAAACCTTGTCATGAGACCAAAGCAGACCTGATCCTCTAGGCGGAAGCCTTGATGATGTCCGAGGCCTTCTCGGCAATGGCGTAGAGAGTGGACACAAGGTGGCCGCAAACCTGGAAAGGCAGGACACCGGCATCGACAACGCGGACGTTGCTGGTGCCGTAGACCTTGAGGTTGGCATCGACAACACCGCCCAGCTCCTTGGACATCATGGCGGTGGTGCCGACGGGGTGGAAGTTGGAGCGGTCTGTGTTTATGATGGTTAGCACACATATTCAAGTGTTCAGCTAGTTTGGCAAACTTACAGTTCTCAAGGATCCACTTGGACCAAACATCGTCAGAGGCGTCCTCGGCAATGGTGGCCAAACCAGGCTTAGTCTCGCTAGCGAAGTACTGGCTCAGGGGAGCAGTCTTGTACAGCTGGCGGATGAACTTGGCAGTACCAATCTGCTCGGTCATGTCCCAGTCCATCATGAAGTAGTTGGGGTTGATCTTTGCAGCAGAGGAGTTGGCGCCGGTGACGTGGATGTTGCCGCGAGCGAAGGGAAGGAGAGCCCAGTACTCGGTGGAGAAGGAAGAACCAGCAGGGGTGATGAGGATCTCAGCGAGGGGGACCTTGTCGGTGAAGATGAGGTCGTACTGGATGTCGAAGAACTTGTCGAGCTGCTCCTTGGTGACGACGCCGTTGGTGTACTCGGAGACCTGGGCGGCCCACTGGGAGAGCTGGGTCTTGATGTTGGCGGCGAGAGAAGCGGTCTGGTTCGCGAAGACGTCGTCGACGTTGGGGTAGGCAACGAAGGTGGTGACACCGGTGAAGTTCTTGGAGCTGGTCTGGGCGAGGCCGTTGTTCATCTGGTCCTGGAGGTTCTCACCGACGGTGGGGAGGTTGACCTTAGTCTGGATGCCGGCGGCCTTCAGGATCTCTTGGTTTCCAACGCCAGACTGCTCCAGGAGGAGAGGAGATCTGAGAGAACCAGCAGAGAGAATGACCTCCTTGTTGGCATAGACGGTGTGGGTAGCACCGGTCTTGTCCTTGACGAGAACTCCGGAGGCGGTGGCCTCAGCTCCCTCAGCCCAGACGAGCTTCTGAGCCTCGGTGTTCAAGAAGACGCGGAAGTTGGTGCGGTTCTGGTAGGGGAAGTAGTAGGCGCGGGCAGCATCGTCGCGAACCTGGAGAGCAGTGTCAAGGGTGGCGGGGTAGATGTTCCAGCCGACCATGTCTCCACCAGCAATGTCCTTCAGGGCAGGGACGCCAACGGCATTGTAGGTCTGGTTCAAGACGTCGACGAAGGACTTCTCGACACCGCCGGACTTCCAGCCGACCTTGAGAGGACCAGAGGTACCGTGCTGCTCAGGGATGTAGGTGACGCCATCGTCAACCTGCACGGTGGTGGGGGGCTGGAGAGTCTCGGACTTCTTGTAGTACTTGAGAAGGTTGTTCCAGTTCCAGCCGTCGTTGCCAAGACGCTCCCAGATGTCGATCTGAACGTCCTGAGCACGGGTGTAAGCCATGCCGTTGATGGTGCTGGTACCGCCGAGAGCCTTGCCGGCACGGAGGGTCTGAGTCTTGTTGCCGCCATACTTCTGAGCAGTAGTCTGGTAGGCGTAGTCGATATCGGTGCCGAAGGCCAATCCGTAGCCAGAGGGGCTGGTAACGTTGACGTTGTCGTAGACAGAGTCACCGGCCTCAATGACAGCGACGGTAACATTCTTCAACTCGGAAAGACGGTTGGCAACGACCAGACCGCTGGTACCACCACCGATAATGACATAGTCAAAGCGCTGCGAAGACGCAGCGGGATAGGCGAGCGCGGTGGCCGCAAGAAGCGGTAGGGAGACAATGGAGCGCAGCATGTTGAAAGTTGAAGTCGGATGCGGTGCGATGCTGAGATGAGAATAGAATCAACACGTGGTGACGATCCCTTGAGTTTATATCTAGCTCCCGCCTGGCTCAACGGCTGGCCTGCTGGGTCCCATGTCCACCGCGCGGTAGAATCAACTTATGTCATGCTTAGAAAGTCTTCCAAATTTCCATCCAGGTTGCTGTAGCTGAGTTGATCCGCTCTCTCCACCGACTGGTGGGCATTTTCTGGATCTCGGCGCTCGCGCGTAAATCCGCAGAGCTGTCTAAGTCCAGACTCCCGGAACCAGCCAAACCTCAAGTATGGTCTTGGAAGATAAACAAGGGGGCCGCTACGCGAACTCCGAGTGACGTATGATGTTCTGTAAAGGTATGACGAAATATCCCTATTTTTTCTTCTTTTTTTGTGCTGATGCGACTCTGGAATGGCGAAAACGAGCCTCTTACGAGTCAGTGTCTTTTTTTCTTCTTCTTGAACATTCGCCCACATAACGGCAGCGGCGAGAAACAAGAATTTGGGATCCACTGTTGTTTTTCCTTACAAGTGGGTCTTTGAAATGCTTAGCAAAAGATTGCCGACATGATCAGGGCAACCCAACTCCACAGCGCCATGCTCGGCATCTTCGGACGGTCACTAATGCATTATTCAGACCAGATACGCGGATGGTGCCTTATCATATTGTCTCACTTATACACGTGGGAAGCACTTCTGGTTTGCAGGGACGTTCAGGAGACAACATTGGAGTTCGTCTGAATACGAGTCGGCTCCCCTGGCTGTCCTTTTTACGGCGGGCGCTGAGATACCGCTCACGACCATAAATTTCCATATCAGGAAGGAAGTTATCGTCCAAGCCCTGCTGCATCTTGGGAAATCCAAGTCAATATCTAGTAGTACTGGCTACTCGAGTAGCTGATATTCGCCAATTTGTCTATTTCGCTGGGCTCTACGAATTACCCTGGATGTAAAGACTACTGCGACTGTTATTCCGACTGCCTCATTGCAATAAGTGGACAAGTAGCCTAGAGGAATGCTACCGAAGAAAAACAATGCCTACGTTCCCACGGCTACAAACCACTAGAGTATACTAGGCGAAAGCATCCGAGTTGGTTTCGACTTTATCTCGGAACCTGGCGGCATCGGAGGGGAACGGCTACCTAGGACTATCCCCGAAACGCCCTTCAACTTGGCTGATACAATGGGATGAACATTCCAGCCAACAGTTCAGTTCAACATCCATGCAAGAGGTTCAAATACCTTGTCCCCGGTCGTGCAAACGCTCTCGCGCGCGGTTGTCAGCTTCCGCCGCGATAGCGCCGGAAGGGCCACCGGGACGGCGGTGGGGCTATCGGCCCGGCTGAGGGATTTCAGGGATCTCGTAGAATTCTGCACAGGGCCGAGACCAATGCTAGGCACCGTTCTCTCGTTGCATGCGGCTTTAACGTTGAATCCTTAACTTTTGGCGAACCCCATCTGAGCACATAGTCAATCTCACTGCAACATGGAGCGGCAGACACCAACGACGCGGTAAAGATCATCTCGCATGCTGGATCTTATTGAGCGTGGTATTCCTCGGAGACCGAGCTTATACATGCCATTTTGCGAAGAGCCTCGTTGACTTGATGTTCTGAACGTTCCGACTTGTGATAAATGTCGCCATGGGGGCCTCCGAATGCGTGCGGCGATCCGTAGGTTGTCATTTGTTTTTGCAGGGGGGCTGAGTATTGCGCCCCTAGAGGCTAGGTCCCGGTCGATCGGCTGGGCAAGTTCCTAGCGTCTCCACAATATAAATGAAGGAAGTTTTCAATCCAGGGACGGAACCTGAAAATGGACAGGCTGTGTTCTCGGGTCCAGACAGGTCAGATACTCAATGGGGGCATACCTATCGCATCTAACCAGATCAAATGACGTAGCTTGTTCGACCTCCCTCGGCTGATGGGATTAACGGTGCGTACTGGCAATTGCGAACGTTGTGTTCGCGATTTCGATTATCTTCACTGCTAACTGATTTCAACCAAAACAGCACAGTAGCATTCGTGAGGAATCACCGCTTGCAATCGCGAGTTTTCCGATGAACGTCTATTGCGGTTTCACGCACTTCAGAGCTACAAGGTTATGCAGTTGTTTCTTCTGCAAGTCTGTGCGTGCGGTCTCGATACTTCACGCTAGATCCATGTACCTTCAATAGCTGACAAGCCAGATATATCTATCTCAATCCAAAGTTCATCCTGCAATTCGCGTTCAACTGGTTGGGCTTTAGAAGGTTTCGGAAGCTCACTTACATAACAATACTCTATTGTCGCCCCGTTGGCTTTCTCGAGAGCCTGGTAGACCTGAATCTGTGTCAAAATCTGCTGTATACATGGACTGTGTTGCTGATACTTCGAGCGTCGGTAATGATTTTTAACGACACATCGACCAATATCACGAATGTCAGCCAGTGCTATGGGCATATTCCCATTAGCATCCATAACGGTTCTAGTAAAGTCCGAAGGTCACAGTCGACTCAGCCAGACGGAAGGCACGGAAATACAATCTGTTTCCACCATCCAGTATCGATGTACGCATACGGTAGGCAAATCTTGAACATGTGGTCAATCACGTCTACTTTCTATTTCCAGTCGACGACGCATCCAAGAAGCCTACTAGTTGTAGTCTAGATTACCTGTCCACGCAGGTCAGCCACGCCCCCGGACGGAATCACAACCATCAAAGGCTCAAAGCTGACCAGACAATGTGTTTCACACCAGTTACTTTAGCTGCATTCGCAACTGAAGTTTGATCTGAAAGACTGCGAAATGCTGAGGCAGAGACAACAAGATATCCCCGCAAGGGATATTACGATAGCAAGCTCAGCGCTGCCGTTAAAGCCAATAAATTAAATAACGCCAAGATTTGACTGATTTGATTGCCCCTACGCCAGTATTGGTTGATTTGCCCTGTTGGCCAATATAACAAAGCAAATCCATAGAACACGTGACTCAAAGCCGCCA